TCTGAATTGTATCAAATGTATAAATATTACATGTGTGTAGTGGAGATAAATCTACCTACATTTTACTTTTCAACACTTTGTTTTGTTTTCTTGTTTTTATTGAACTATTTTCCTGTCCTGTGTCTGTCATCTTCCTGCATCATTTATGACCACATTTGACATACATATTTAAGTTTGTAGAACAAGCGTGAGATAATTGACTTACTGCTGGAAACCGCTGGCTTTTTGATTCCCGCTTCCTGTGAGCCTGCGGGCTGCTGTGAAGCTGTGAGCAAGGCAAAGCCGGCAGCCCCGCCCATTGGAAACAGCGTGTGTGGACCGACCGTACCAACTTGAGGAATTGGGGGGGTGGGGGGGTGGACTATAATTTCTCAACAATTAAAAACACATTGTTTTGTATTTGCAGACTAACTTTTACGTTGTGGTTTTAGAAGACAATACAGGTTTACTGATAGCATTTATACATTTACAATAACTTTTGTGGGGGGGACAACTTTGTGTGAGGGGGGGGGGGGACGCTTCCCCCCCGTCCCCCCTGGGATCTCCGCCTATGCTCCTGTTAACAGAGAACCCTTGAAATCTGTCCTTCAGAAGTGAAATTGGACCTGTCAAACTTTTCATCACCATTCGAAAAGTACTGCACCGATTTGAAAAATTCAAAAAGCGTGAGTGGCAGAAGACTTTGATGATCATCTGTTCCGATTTGTATGTGCCTACCATGAATTGTCTAGAAGCTATGACGATAAACTTTTAGCTGTCTGAAGCCGTTTTGAGGAGAAAATCTCTGATCCTTTAACATGGGTTTCAATGAGAGAAAAGCTGGGTCTCTCCTCCTTCTGAGGCTTGTAGCGAAAGAACGGTAACACTTACAGATAAATTGAAATCCATTCTGAAAAGCTGACAAAAATTCCTACGTTTTGAGGTATAATTTGTTACGGTAGTCCAAACGGTCTGGGCGTAGTGAACAGTTGTTCACAGAAGATGTGAAGTTCAAAACATAGAGGGGGTGAATTTTCAAGTGAGAGTGAGCAGAAACCTTTTTTTAAATTTGAATTTTCTCAAACAAATGAACCGTACGACCACAATGTTTGGAGTACAGTCATGAATTAAAGCTCAAAACGAAGGTATATTCGTTAGCTGTAAGCCAGTGTGTGTCTCATTTCAATCGGACCTACGGTTCTCTCGGGACAACGCCGGAAATGGAGCAAGGGAGGGTCACTGCTCCTATCTTTCTCCATTATAACTTGTGTGAATTTTTCTGAAAATTTCAAGTCGTACCTCAACTTCTACCTGCGATTTTAGAAAAACCGTAAAAGATATCAAAAAGCCTCTTTAATATGTTAAACAGGAAAGTCTTGTGAGTTTGATAAACTTTGAATGAAGTCTCTAAATTAAAAGGAACCCTATAGAGTTTGAGGTCAAAAAAGTGATAGGAATTTGCTGAAAATTGACCAATCCCATTCATTTCAATGGGAAATTTTTCGCAGAAAAAGCTTAATAACTCGAAAAATTTGAACAATATCAATGCCAAAAGTAATAGCCGGTAAGAGCTTAACGAGCTGAACGTTTTGATATAAAATGGTTGAAATAGCTCCAAATTTGAAGAAGAAGAGGTTCAAAAAGTGTACGGAAGCAGAATATGGAAGAATAAAGAGAAACAGGAAAACAATAGTTTGAATGCTTTTCAGCATTCAAATTAAATTATTCTTTCAATGTTTAGAGCAGCGGGGAACTCTGAGAGCCTACAGGCGCACCATTGAGTTTGAGGCTGCTGCACAGGGGGAGGGGGAGAAGGCTAAAGCAGGGGAACAGAAAAGACACAAAAACTACCATTGTTAAAAGAAACTTGTATTGGCTTTAAAAATATGGGCACAATTTTTAATCACTTATCAAAAGCTCCAGTGGAAACTATCCCTTGTTTTGAGAGCGCTATTTAAAGACATTGGATTTTCTAGAAAATCCCAAAACCTTTTTCAGCTGAGATTTTATTACTGTTTTACACATGACATTCAAAAAATGTTTGCCTTTGACCAATTACTTTAAGGTGCACTTGTGGTGCAGGGTTTTTAATGGACCACACTTAGAACCTTAATATTGTAATTTTAAAGTGCTTTATTACGTTACACTCTTATCACAAATTGTAGAATTTTTGTTTATTAAAGCTTCTTGACTATACATGCAGTCAAACAATTTAACTGTACATTAATTCATTACAGTCACAATAAAGAAGTTTTGTCAATTCATTATATGAAAATATTCATTAAAAATTCATCATGGGTGGGACAGATGTCAACGAGCAAATTGCAGGTCAATTTTTTTTTCTAATTCATATTTCATTTTAAAATGCATAACATTACAGTTTTTCAAGTAAAAAGTGTCCTTTCTCAGCAAAGCTTCTAAAAATGCTCTGTTTTACTAAATCTTAACCACTGACGTAACCAAAGAAGCTAGGCAGCTGCCTCAGCTCATTGTAGAGAGTGTGTAGTTTTAGGGTAGAGAGTTTGTGTTACCGAGTCAGTGTGTGCAGGGGCGTCGGACTGGGGGGGGAAAGGGTACCGTTTACCCAGGGCCCACTGCAGGGAGGGGCCCTGAGACAGCTTTGAATAAAAATGTTTTATTGTTGTTGTTTTTTCCCCCCAACTTACTTAATGTCTTAATAAACTTCCCTTTACCTGGATAAAGAGGTTAAGAAACAGAATTTCGCCTTAAAAATAATAACTGAATAATCTCTGAGGCATCTATCACCCCTTAAAAATGTGCAAAGTGGTTTAGTCCACACCCGCAGCCAGGGGCTGCACGGCTGCATGTACAGCTAATGAGACATCGCAGATGCCGACAGCCAGAGCTGGAGGCAGGAGAGTCAGTCATGTTTTTTCCCAAGAAAGGGAAATCTGGCTTCCAGAAAAGAAAAGAAAAGAAGGAGAAGGAGAAAAGGTTAATTGAACAGAAGCAAGTAGAAGGACGGTGAGCAGCAGCAGCAGAACACAGTTTTAGCTGATATTAGCTAGCTCTCAGAAGCTGCAATCATGTTAGGTGTTCAGTGTTAAACGCCTTTAGTTTCACCATCAAGATCAAATATAAATTAATTAGTGTTGTCAATGAAAACACTAATTAATATATATATATATATTAACCAGAATTATTATCGCGGGCGGCCGCCGCCAATTAATTCGCGGACCTTGCAGTAAAAACAGGTTCACTCTGTGTGGATATTTCAGCTCCTTCCCAGTCATGGACCAGGACAAACTTGGTATCGATGGATTCGTGGTAATCTCAGGAATGTGAAGCTGCCACTGTTTTTCGTATAGCATGATGACACTGGTGTTAGAGGATTGTTATTGACTTGGTTAGATATTTTAAGCCTATTTTAAATTTCTTTATATTTCATCTTGAAAACGGACAATCTTATAATTTGGCTGATAATGCAGCGATTATAAAATTTAGAGTACATTACATTCACAGAGAGAACCTGGTTTATTTCATGTCATATGTATTTAATATATCAAGATATATCAGTATTAGCAAAGCTTAACATCACGAACCATGACAAACATGACTGAAGAGCAGATGAAGATATCATGCCAGGCACTGATGAGAAAATATTACAAGGATCTCACAGCTGAATTTGGGAATGAGATGCTACACCTGAGAACAATATATGGTGCCACATTCCCACACATTCGGTCTCCTCTTGAGCTGCTTAATGCCATACAGGATGCAATTACAGAGCATTTTTGGAGAAGTTTGTATTGGACTGAGGATATTTTGCACACTACCTGTGACTGTTGCTGGGGGTGAACGGGCTTTTAGCAAACTGAAACTGGTGAAAAATTATTTGAGATCAACAATGTCCAAGGATAGACTGAACAGCCTAGCTCTTCTTTCTATTGAAAGCCAATTAGCCAAAGGACTGGACTTTAAAGATCTCATAAGTGATTTTGCTAACATGAAGACCCGTCAGTGGGCATTTACTGGAAAATAAATTCCAGGATTTTTGTTTGAACACATTGTTGGCAAATAAAAATAATTATATGTGAAGTCTGGGCATTTCACTTTTATTATGCTGGCATTTGTATTTGCTCAATATAGAGGTTAAACTAGGATCATATTTATTATCTTGTCTTATAGCATGACAAAAAATGTGTAAGAGAGATATTGAGTAATTGAGCATGGGGGCCCACCTGGAAGACTTGTACCTAGGGCCCAGAATTTGGTGCTACGCCCCTGAGTGTGTGTGTACTAGTTTTGGATCGTGTTCATTTTGATAAACCATTGTTTGTGAAGGCTGTACAAACTCCAGCCTGTCTGTACATCGAGTCCACGGGTTTCCAAATAAGAGAAATAATGCCTCTATCTTCATGCTTGAGGGTGTTTTGTGCAGCTGAAAAGACGAGACTTCTTTAGCCCACTTCGGTCGATACCGGGACAGGGAGGTCCGCGCTGGCTGAGACACGTGGCAGGGTTTCAAAAATTAAATGCAGATTGGATTCTGTTTGTAAAAATTTTTACTTCAGTTCGACCTGTTTAAATTTTTTATTTTGTAATCAAAAATAATTTGTATATTATTTAAACTATCTTCAGCTTTATTCATTTTATGAGAATTTTTGTTTCATTGTTTGGGAAATTAATCATAACAGAACAGAACAATTACTTTAAAGTATATATAATATATAATGCTGTTTAAAGGAAATGCTCCTTAAATGTCAATAGTTTTTGGAAGTATTTTTTCATTTATGATCTAATTTCTGAACACTACGGAAAAACTGGCATTGCTGCATAGATTTCAGGTAGGGTCTGGCACTGAACAGAAACATATTAGCGATTTCTGTGTGTTTAAAATGTTATATTTCTGAACCTTTCTACAAAAAATGACAATGTCATCAGGAACCGCTGTTTAGATTAAACAAATCCCGCCTCCTTTGCCCAGCTGATGTATTCAACCAATCAGAGGCGGGAGATGGAGCAGGAAAATTAGCCTGAAATTTGTATAAAGAAGTCTCCCTAGCGTTCAGCGGTACTGTCGTCTATTCTGCAATCGTAAACGAAATGCCTGAACCTGCCAAGTCTGCGCCCAAGAAGGGCTCCAAGAAAGCGGTGACCAAAACCGCTGGCAAGGGGGGAAAGAAGAGGAAGAGGACCAGGAAGGAGAGCTATGCCATCTACGTGTACAAGGTGCTGAAGCAGGTCCACCCCGACACTGGCATCTCGTCCAAGGCCATGAGCATCATGAACTCGTTCGTTAACGACATCTTTGAACGCATCGCTTCTGAGGCTTCTCGTCTGGCGCACTACAACAAGCGCTCCACCATCACCTCCAGGGAGATTCAGACCGCTGTCCGCCTCCTGCTGCCCGGTGAGTTGGCTAAGCACGCCGTTTCTGAGGGCACCAAGGCTGTTACCAAGTATACCAGCTCCAAGTAAATTCCTGGTTAACGTCACAAACTCAAAGGCTCTTTTAAGAGCCACCCACATTTTCTAAAGAGAAATAATCCTGGTATCGCATTCAAACGCCAACCCTAACCCTGTAAATTCAAGTTTGACGTGGAATTAAAGTAGTGTCCTTTCACTACTTTGTCAAGTGGTTATTAATTGATTGTAGCTGAAAATCCTGAAGCTGTGTTTTAAAACCAACTAGTACCTATGTCAGTGCAATTTATTGTTAAAGTGGACTGAAAACACTGGTGTAACTGTCTTTTTCATGATTTTTAATTGTATTTTTTGTAATTTTTTTGTTTATAATTTGGGTCTCTTGTACTTTAGTGCATCACTCATTTCATGTACCTAATCACAATGATTTTCCAATTCTGTGAACTTTACTAATACCTTGATGTTGACTTGAGTCTTTTTACTGAATTGACTCACCAAAAACTTTTTAATTCACTTGAGTCAAAGTCGGTTGCCCACAGTGCAAAACAATCCCTCAAACCTAGTTTGCTGCTCTGTCCATGTAACTACCACTCATGTGATTTTAAAGGAAAACTATCCATTTTATACACTGACATTTTTTTCTTTTTAAAATAGTGGTGGAACAGTTCATGTTTTTGAGTCTGCTTATTAGGACAACATAAATTATAACAAAGAACTAAGTGGATTTTTTTATATATATGCAAAAGGCAACGAGATGGAAGTCATGGAACAAAAGGAGCATCAAAACTTTGAAAACAAAATTTGGAAACACTTTAAAAGCTCTTTCATCCATCTCAGTGTGGCTCAGTGCTTGTACAATGACTATTTAATAAAAATGTATTTTACCGTAATCCAATATTAGCCTGTATTTAATTAACTGCCCGGTATCATATTTTGGCTAGAGTCGGCGGAGGTGAATAATGGCCGTTTTTTATTATTATGGCCGGGTGGAATGTGGTAACAAGCAAGTACGGGGGCGGTTGTGTCATCCGTCTCACTTTTGATTTGCCAGTGATAGACCGCGAGGGTAACTTTAACCGTGTGGAGACGATGAGGAGGCGAAAATTTGAAATCAAGTTCAAAGAGAACGTGCTGATTATGCTGCAGAACACTCTGGGGAGCAGTAGGGGTTGTATGAACTAGTCACTAGTCGACTTCACCGCTCTGTAGTGACATTTTATGCCTGTCATCGACTAGTCGCTGTCACGTGATAATGACCGGCAAGATGCAGTCTACGGAAAAGACAGCAGCCTGCTGTCAGCAGGTGACAAGCTCCTGCGCGTCGGGAGGCAACGCACTGTGCCAGAGCGTCAGTACTGACACCCTAGACAATTTAACCAAATTGTGACGTTTACCCTCTTGCAATTTAACCTTCTCCTCACCCCCATCCTAACCTTAACCAGCTTGCGCATGCAAAGCTCTGATTGTTGACGCCCTCCAGACATCTGTGTCCTGAGCACGGCCACAGTAACATTTTTAAATCAGGTGTTGCCACATCAAAACAAATTTAACACGCTATCGTTCATGTTGGCTCATTTCCTTTTATATTTTCTGTCTTTTATTCTTTTATCTGTGCCTGATGCGATTCGCTGCTGTGGATCGGGGCACATCACCTGTTTTGTCCTCGGTGACGCACCTAACTGATGTGGCCGGCAAGCACTCCGCTGATTTTGCAGTCGGTAGATCTTTTAGAACTGCAGTTCAAAGGTAACTCATAAGGTGAATATATATGAACCCAGGTAGCAGTTTTTCTTTAGGATTGAGATGCAGGAAGATAATAAACAGGCAGGACAGAAAAATAGTTAAATAAAAACAAGTTAGTTTTTGTACCTGGTGGTTGCAACAAACAGACACCATTGAAGGTAATCAGAAGTGAGGAACAGAAAATGAAATAATTATTTTAATGTTTAGAGCAGCAGGAACTCCGAGAGGCTGCAGGCGCATCAGTGAGTTTGCGGCCGCTGCGCAGGGGGAGGGGGGAGGGCTGAAGCAGAAACTACCGTTGTTAAAAGAAATGTGTTTAACTTTGAAAATGTGGGCGCAATTTTAATTGTCAAAAACTCCAGCGAGCCATTAGTTCATTTTGCTCAAATAGAAATTGAGGCCTGCCTCTAATTCTGGTCCTCCTTCCAATAAAGGCCTGGAGCTTGATGAGCTTGAGTCAAATATTTTACTGCATGCATTCATTTTTTTATCTGTATGCCAATTGTACATTTAAAGATTGTCATATGTTCAAATCTTAAAAATGATAAACCTGAAATTAAACAATTTTGTCCCTCTGCATCATAACCACTGTGACACGACCAAGCCCCCGCAATGCAGTCAAAAATGAGGCAAACACGGAAGTGAAATAAATTGCAGTTCCACCCTCATCCGGTGGGGGCTGGTGTCAGAAACGAGCAAATCCTCATTGACTCTCATGTTAAAAATACCAATTTCACAGCAGAAATAAACATGTTTACAGCCTGGTACCAAAACATGTTTTTGGTTTAAATTATATAGTTTACACTCATGACAACTCTGAGGGGGGCGAATTTTTTTCTCACTCTTCTGTTTAAGTGTATTAAATGCCTTCAATTCTGTATAATTAATGAGCATCAGACCCACGTGACCGCCGCCTCAGACCCACGTGACCACAAAGCAATCAGACTGACTCTATGTGGATGGATTTATTTGATTGTCTGTCTTTGTGTTTTCTCTATCAGTAACAAGCTGAAATGAAATGATAATCATGCAGATGTTTTTAAAATGTCCTGAATAGGGCAAAGTCAACCATTAGATAATTACTCCAGGAAAGTAAAGAGATTATTTATTCATCAATATTCACCAGGTACAATAAGAAATGACAAAGTCATTGATGTGATAGAAACATTAATAATTAACAAAGAATAAACCACGTGGTTCACCAACAGTTCATGGGTCCATGATCCAGGCTGGAGCTTTAGGACCTGCTGGAAGTCTCTGGTCGGCTGGTCGACCTAAGAACACACACTCTGCTGTGTTTCCTCCTCCGAGCTCCTCTTGATAGGCAGCTCTCGCTCAGCCTGTTCAACACTTGGAACTTTGGCTGCCTGGATGTGGAGCTTTCCATCTGGAGAAAGGGAGCAGCTGACAGCTTCATGGTTCACCCCTTCAGGCAGATCAAACTCCTGTCTGAACTCCTGGAGTCTGTAAGAGTAGGAGCCTTTCCCGTCCTCTTGCTTCTTCTCTGTCCTTCCACGGACTCTCAGCTTCCTGCCCACCTGCTTGACTGAAAGCTCCTCTGGAGAAAAGCCTTGAGTGTCCAGTGTCAGGCCAAAGTCTTGTCCCTCTTTGTCCAGCTGGTAGGAGACTGGTTTGTGGACCAGTGTGCTCCTGAAAGGCTCTGTGTCCTCCAGGATCTGGTGTTGAAATCTGTCCATCAGCTCCAGGCTGCTGCGCAGCTCCTGTAGGGTTCTCTGGAGGACATCTTGCGGGTAGAACAAAGGTCTGACCTCTGGCCACAGACTGCGAACAGGCCAGTAGAGGTCCATCATTGGCCTGAGAGCAGATCTCTCAGCATGAGAAGACATCATGGTTGTTTAGTCTTCTGGTGAGAATAACCCTTGCTCAGCTACAGGTTCTCTTCTGTTTAGCTTTCTGTCCCAGCACTGGGAGTGTCTCAGCTTTATATTCTAACAGGAGGAGGTCCACAGTCTTCAGGAAGGTTCTGGTAATTACTAGACATGTCCACCAGGTGGTGCTGTTTCACAATAAGGTTCAATTAGTCTGTTAATCATAATTATTTCCATGGATAACAATTGAAAATATTTTACTTTTAAATTAATACTTTTAACACCTTTGCTACACACACAAGAATTTGTGTTCGGATTCATTTAGAATGAATCACATCTGATGTCTTACTTGATAACATACATGAATGAACAAAAATAAGGAGCAAATATATTTTATCATAAATGTCCTTCAAAATAAAGAACTACAGATTTTCTCTTTAGTTTTTATAAAGATGAAAAATGAAAAGTCAAATAAACAAAATTTGATCGGACTTTCTGTGATTCTGACCAGAATAATGTTCTAAATGTTCATCACAATTAAGCAAATAAATAAAACTCCCAAAAACATGTAACTATGAAAACCAAACATTAATCCAAAGAGTCATAATTTCAGAGAAAACAACAAGCGTTCGATAAAACATTTTCATACTAACCAAAACTACTGAGGAGAATTCTTCAACAGCAATCATAATCCTTGTTTAAAAGAGTATGTGGGTATGGCCTGCATTAAAGGATTTGTGAGGGGGAAAAAAATCTAATACATAAATATGAGCTCACCTTCCTTCCATCCATCCATCCATCCATCCATCCATCCATCCATCACACATGTATTATACTTAAAGTACCAATTAAAAGTATAATATTTTAAAGCAGTTTCGTTGGACGTAATTGTGATTAACAAACTCATTGAACCTTGTTATGAAACAGCACCACCTGCTGGACATGTCTAGTATTGACCAGAACCTTCCTGAAGACTGTGGACCACCTCCTGTTAGAATATAAAGCTGAGACACTCCCACTGCTGGGATAGAAAGCTAAACAGAAGAGAACCAAGAGCTGAACAAGGATTATTCTCACCAGAAGACTAAACTCAACAACCACAATGTCTTCTCATGCAGAGAGATCTGCTCTCAGGCCGATGATGGACCTCTACTGGCCCGTTCGCAGTCTGTGGCCAGAGGTCAGACCTTTGTTCTACCCGCAAGATGTCCTCCAGAGAACCCTACAGGAGCTGCGCAGCAGCCTGGAGCTGATGGACAGATTTCAACACCAGATCCTGGAAGACACAGAGCCTTTCAGGAGCACACTGGTCCACAAACCAGTCTCCTACCAGCTGGACAAAGAGGGACAAGACTTTGGCCTGACACTGGACACTCAAGGCTTTTCTCCAGAGGAGCTTTCAGTCAAGCAGGTGGGCAGGAAGCTGAGAGTCCGTGGAAGGACAGAGAAGAAGCAAGAGGACGGGAAAGGCTCCTACTCTTACAGACTCCAGGAGTTCAGACAGGAGTTTGATCTGCCTGAAGGGGTGAACCATGAAGCTGTCAGCTGCTCCCTTTCTCCAGATGGAAAGCTCCACATCCAGGCAGCCAAAGTTCCAAGTGTTGAACAGGCTGAGAGAGAGCTGCCTATCAAGAGGAGCTCGGAGGAGGAAACACAGCAGAGTGTGTGTTCACAGGCAGAAGGCAGCCGCCCAGAGACATCCAGCAGGTCCTAAAGCTCCAGCCTGGATCATGGACCCATGAACATGTTGGTGAACCGATGACACGTGGTTCTATTCTTTGTTAATTATTAATGTTTCTATCACATACCTGGTGAATATTGATGAATAAATAATCTGAACGACATCTTTGCCAGTTTTTGTCTTTATGTAAAGCTGGAACTCACTTCTGTACAGGAAATAAAACATTTTAAACAAAACTGACATTCTTCTGTAGTGTAGAATAGCTAATGATGGTTTAAAAAATGAAAATCCATTTCAACAGAAGTTGTTTAGTAAAAGACTTCTGTAGAAATGGTAAGTGGCCTGTTTTTGAAATTGCACCTTCAAGGCTTTTACAACCCCCCAAGGCACCTTACAACACAAACAGTCATTTACCCCATAGGTATTTACCCACACACACATACACATTCACACAATGGTGGTGATAAAGTACGATGTAGCCACAGCTGCCCTGGGGATCACTGAGAGGGGCAAGGCTGCTGAACACAAGTGCCACCAGTCTCTCCACCCACCATCAGCAGGCAAGGCAGGTTAAGTGCCTTGCCCAAGGACACAACAACTTCAACAGATGGGGCTTGAACCAGCAATCCTCCAGTTACTGGATGTGCACTTAGCTCTTCTGTCACCATTGCAGAAGTTGAAGTATTATTTCCAGCCTCGAGTAAAAGTAAAAAAGTACTGGTTTCAAAACTATTTAAAGTACAAAAGTAAAAGTAACATAAAAAAAATCAAATAGGCCAATAGAAACAAAAGCTTTAGCCATTCCACAGTACTAGCAGTTACACTTTCAATAATCTTTATTGGAATGTAAATATGTAGATCCAGCAGTTGCAAGAATCTGTGAAGGCAACAGGCGATAAAGCACCTTAGTTCAATTAGTTTAAGCGAAGGTGGTTACGCTCACAAAATCCATGATGACAGATCTATACTCCAGGTCATTCCCCTCAGACACACAGCTGACAATGGCCAGACTACACCTATAACATCACCAGCAGCTGTCACCTCCAGAATTTACTGATGACTCAGCCTTTGTCCGTTTTGTGTCTGAAGGGAATGACCTGGAGTACATGGACTTTGTTGAGTGGTGTGAGCGTAATCACCGTTGTTTTAACACCAGTAAGACAAAGCAAATTGTGATTGACTTCCAGAGAAATCCTACCCACCCACTGCATTGCAGTGTGGAGACCATGGACAGCACCTTCAGAGGCAGTCTGAGATATCCCAGATGTAAAACAGAAAGCTGCCGTAAGTCATTCATCTCCTCTGCAGTGTGAGTGTATAACTCCTCAGTTTAACTGGTACTGGCATTATCCTGGTACACAATAACATCAATGCAATATTAAGTATGTGTTCAATACTTGTGCAATACCAGATTTACATACAATAGTATATCTGTTTCCTTTATGCGGCATAGTTCTGGAAACCCAAGTTTGCTTTTTTATTTGTTGTTTTGGTGGTTGAAGTTTACAATAATATCTTATTGCCTTTGTGTGTTTACCTGTAATCTTGCTATTATTTTTCATCTTCCTTTTCTCTAAGTGGATATGCTGCTGTATGAAGTGAATTTCCCCACTGTGAGATTAATAAAGTCTGTTCTATTCTATTGGACTTGTGTTGTTTTCATTGTACAGTATACATTAGTGATGCCAAAAAGGAATGAATGTCCTGACTGAAATGTGATGTGGTTTATATCAGGTGTAGTGTGTGATAGATCACACATAAACCAATAGGGCTTCAGAATGGTGGATGTGTGAAATTACAGTGGAATGCCAACATTTGGGCAGCCTTGTTAATTTTCCTAATTTTCCTATATAAATCACTGGTAGTTATGATAAAAGATTTCAGTTAAATATATGATATAGGACCTGGAGGGGAAGAATGTTGTGTGCATCCTCAGCGGAGGGAATATTGGAAAAGATGAGCTCGCAAACTTCCCTGATTAAAAATGAGCTTTTCTATTCAGCAGTTTAAAATTTTACTTTACTTTTGATTTTCTGTAGATTGACATGATTAATTTAATTGAGTTCAGTTTATTTATATAGTGCAAAATCATGAGAAGCATCATCTCAAGGCACCTCCCTAAGTAAACATTCCAATTGAGTTTAGTTCACTATGCCAATTAGTTAAACGTTTCCTATATAAGGAGCCCAGCAGAGACTACAGCAATCCCCATATTAAGCAAGCATGTAGCGACAGTGGAGAGGAAAATCTTCTAACAGGAAGAAACCCAACAGAACTTGAATCAGATGGCTGCTGCTCACTGGGGTTTTGAGAACACACACACACACACACACACACACACACACACACACACACACACACACACACACACACACACACACACACACACGAGGGGTGAAACACATTTTATAGGATTTATAGAAAGTGTGCAATAATTGTTCAAACAATATAAGGCAGGTGTATACATTTGTCATTTTCTTGATTCCAAAACCTTTAGAACTAATTATTTGGACTCAAAATTGGTATGGTGACCTCGTACACAGGTGATTTCAATTATGAGAAAGGGTATTTAATGAGGTATATTGTATAAGTTTCCCTCCTCTCTGAATATTCTCTGAAAAGTAGCAACATGGGCGTCTCAAAACAACTCTCACATGACCTGAAAACAAAGATGGATCACCATCATGGTTTAAATGGTTAAATGGTAAATGGCCTGTATTTGATATAACATCTTCTAGAGTTCTGGAACTACCCAAGGTACTTTACAACACAATCAGTCATTCACCCATTCACACCCTGGTGGTGATGAGCTACACTGTAGCCACAGCTGCCCCAGGGCACACTGACAGAGGCGAGTCTGCTGTACGCAGGCACCACTGTTCCCTCCGAACACTACCAGCAGGCAAGGTTGGTTAAGTGTCTTGCCCAAAGACATAATGACAGCGACAGACTGAGCGTTGCTCGAACCTGCGTCTGCAAGCACTTAACTTCTGTGCCACCGTTGCCCCTAAGCGGAAGGATGCAGAAAGCTGTCTCAGAAAGTTTAGGCACAGTTCACAATCTAAGATAAACAGAAGACACGGATGGTGGGAACAGTCAGAGTCAACCCACAGACTAGCACCAAAGAACTACAACATCTTCTTGCTACAGATGGAGTCACTGTGCATCGTTCAACTGTTTAGTGCACTTTACACAAGGAGATGTTGCATGTGAGAGTGATGCAGAGGAAGCCTTTCCTTGACCCACAGCTCAACCAGAGCCACTTGAGGTATGCTAAAGCACATTTGGACAAGCAAGCTTCATTCTGGAATAAGGTGGACTGATGAAACTAAAACTGAGTTATTTGTGCATAACAAGGGGTGTTATGCATGGAGGAAAAAGAACACAGCATTCCATGAAAAACACCTGCTGCCTACAATAAAACATGGTGGTGGTTCCATCATGCTGTGGGGCTGCGTGGCCAGTGCAGGGACTGGGAATCTTGTTAAAGTTGAAGGACCCATGGATTCTACTCAGTATCAGCAGATTCTCAAGACCAATGTCCAGGAATCAGTGACAAAGCTGAAGCTGCTCTGGGGCTGGATCTTTCAACAGGTCAACAACCCTAAACAATGCTCAACACTTACTAAGGTATTATGCAGAGGTACAATAGTGATGGGTCGGTCACGAACGAACTGGCTCTAAGAGTGAATGATGGGAGCTGGCTCGTCATTGGGAGCCATCACCCTCCCCCTCTTGCTTTGGTGAAAGCCACAGGTGATTGGTCAACATGTGTAACTGCGTGTCCCACGCACAGAGCACATGCGGGCGGAGGGGGAATGAGGAGGAGGAAAAAGGCAAGCGAGAGAGAGAAAGTGCGACGAAGAAGGTGAGAAAATGAGCGACAGCAGTCGGAAAGTTGAGATTTCTTAAAGTGTTCGGTAAATAAATCCATATAAGTGATACATATTTGATTTATTGCATTTTTTACATTAGTAAATCATTTTACATATAGTTTTGCATTATTTTTGGTAATAAATATACTTTACGCAACAGAAAATCTGAGAAGCCACTTGGAAACCAATGACCTCAGAAAAAAATAATAAACAGGTCTAAAGTGATTGCTGTGTGGAACTAGTGTAGTTCTATATTTTCACCTATTTAATTAAGGGCTTTGATGAAATAAATTTTCATCTTTTAAAGCTTTCCACACAAGAATGTCAGATTTGTTTAAAATGTTTTATTTCCTGTACAGAAGTGAGCTCCAGCTTTACATAAAGACAAAAACTAGCACAGAAGTTGTTCAGATTATTTATTCATCAGTATTCACCAGGTACAATAAGAAAAGACAAAATCATTAGATGTGATAGAAACATTAATAATTAACAAAAAATAGAACCACGTGTAATCTTTTCACCAACACGTTCATGGGTCCATGACCCAGGCTGGAGCTCTAAGACCTGCTGGATGTCTCTGGGCGGCTGTCTTCTGCCTATGAACACACACTCTGCTGTGTTTCCTCCTCCGAGCTCCTCTTGATAGGCAGCTCTCTCTCAGCCTGTTCAACACTTGGAACTTTGGCTGCCTGGATGTGGAGCTTTCCATCTGGAGAAAGGGAGCAGCTGACAGCTTCATGGTTCACCCCTTCAGGCAGATCAAACTCCTGTCTGAACTCCTGGAGTCTGTAAGAGTAGGAGCCTTTCCCGTCCTCTTGCTTCTTCTCTGTCCTCCCACGGACTCTCAGCTTCCTGCCCACCTGCTTGACTGAAAGCTCCTCTGGAGAAAAGCCTTGAGTGTCCAGTGTCAGGCCAAAGTCTTGTCCCTCTTTGTCCAGCTGGTAGGAGACTGGTTTGTGGACCAGTGTGCTCCTGAAAGGCTCTGTGTCCTCCAGGATCTGGTGTTGAAATCTGTCCATCAGCTCCAGGCTGCTGTGCAGCTCCTGTAGGGTTCTCTGGAGGACATCTTGTGGGTAGAACAAAGGTCTGACCTCTGGCCACAGACTGCGAACGGGCCAGTAGAAGTCCATCATCGGTCTGAAAGCAGATCTCTCTGCATGAGAAGACATCATGGTTGTTGAGTTTAGTCTTCTGGTGAGAATAATCCTTGTTCAGCTCTTAATTCTCTTCTGTGCAGCTTTCTGTCCCAGCAGTGGGAGTGTCTCAGCTTTATATTCGAACAGGAGGAGGTCCACAGTCTTCAGGAAGGTTCTGGTCGATACTAGACATGTCCAGCAGATGGTGCTGTTTCACAATAACGTTCAACCATTCTGTTAATTATCATTATTTCCGTGGATAACAGTTGAAAATATTTTACTTTTAAATTAATGCAACATTTTAAAACATGTCTCCAGTTGTTTATGTCAGATTCAAAATGTATTTTGCATGCAGAGCAGTTTAATTTAGAAACAATTAACAGGCAAGAAAATATATCCAACGGTCATTCATAAAGTAGGTCTAAATTTTTCAGTTAAAAAAACATCACAATTGTTCTGGTTGGTGTGTGTTTGTTCATTTTATTGGTCTATACAAACATTTTAGAAATGAAAAGAAGAAGAATCGAAGAATCAGGAAATGTGCATTTACTAATTTGTTTTAACAGAATATAAGATGTTTTATTTTCCATAATACAGAAATTAGAACAATCTTGTGATACATTTTCATTTTGTCTGCAAAGTACTCTGCTCATCTGTAAACTGCCTCCATGTTACTGTGCACACAGGTAAATTGCCCTGAGAAGCTACCCCTGTGTGCTTCTTTGGCTGGTGCATTGTGGGAGTTGTAGTCTGATTTGTTTGGTAAATTTTCTGTACTTCATCATAGTTTATGATGCATTCAAAGCCACGCTAACTTCACTTTGACAAACATAGCCCATTAATAGAGTTGTGTGATGAAGTTGCTAAACTCACACCTTGTTTAGGAACGATACAACATCATATCTTCCATTATGACACACGTAGTCCATGTGTTGTTCTTTAATGTGTTTGCATTGCACAGACAAAAACAAATCTCATTTTAAATGTCATATTAGCACCTGAAAAATGAGGCCTATCACACATATTTCAACATTAAAAGTTTTACACAACATTATAGTAATCATAGCCTTAGGAACAGGTGTGGTAGTACTGTGGTGCAGCAAAAATGCTAATTTCTTTACCTTATTTTTGTTTTTTGTTTTTATTTTTACTGAAGACTGGAATGAATACTTCAACTGTAACAGAGGTGTTTTTAAACCCTAGTATCTATACTTCTACTTGAGTAATAACTGTCAATACTTTTAACACCTTTTCTCCACACACAAGAATTTGTGTTGATTCATTTAGAATGAATCACATCTGATGTCTTAGATAAAATACATGAATGAACAATAAATTAGGGAGCAAATATATTTTATCATAAATGTCCTTCAAAATAAAGAACTACAGACTTTTTCTTTAGTTTTTACAAAGATGAAAAAATGAAAAGTCAAATAACCAAAATTTGATTGGACTTTCTGTGATACTGACCAGAATAATGTTCTAAATGTTCATCACAATTAAGCAAATATATAAATAAAACTCCCAAAAACATGTAACTATGAAAACCAAACATCAATCCAAAGAGTGATAATTTCAGAGAAAACAACAAGCGTTCGATAAAACATTTTCATACTAACCAAAACTACTCAGGAGAATTCTTCAACAGCAATCCTAATCCTTGTTTAAAAGAGTATGTGGGGATGGCCTGCATTAAAGGATTTGTGAGGGGGGAAAAAATCTAATACACCTCTTTAACTGGCTCCTCTCGATGTGGAGGAGCAGTGGTATACTCCGAGTCCCTCCCAGATGATCGAGCTTATCAACCTATCTCTAAGGGAGAGCTCAGCCACCCTGCAGAGAGAACTAATTTCGTCCGCTTGTATCCGTGATCTCATTCTTTCAGTCACTACCGAAATGAGTGTATTGCAGGGTGTGTAATGTAGATCACCCAGTAAATTGAGAGCGGTAAAGCGCCTGCATCACTGCAGATGCAGCACCAATCTGCCTGTTGAGCTCACGCTCCATCTTTCCCTCACTCATGAGCAAGACCCCATATTATATAAACTCCTCCACTTGGGCAGGACCTCATCTCTGTCCCGGAGAAGGCATTCTACAGTATTCAGACTCAAAACCGTGGCCTCGGATTTAGAGGAGCTGATTCTCATCCCAGCTGCTTCACACTCACTGTGAATAGCTCCAGCAAAAGCTGTAGAACACGTTCTGATGAAGCTAACAGGACCCAT